ATTTACAGTATTGGAGGTTGTAATAACACCACTGGCTCCGTGCCGCCGATATGTCATCGAGGGAGTTTAGGTATGTTGCTCCGATGAACGCTGCGAGGTGGTACCCTCATGCAGTCACCGCTGATGACAAGATCTATGTCTTTGGCGGTCTCAACGGTAAAGGTCCAGAGATAGAGGTTTTCGACCCAATCAACAATATGTGGGAAATTATCACTCCACCTTCACATCCAATTCCGTCTCTTAATTGCGGAGATGGATTCTTTGTAACTTATGATGAAGCATCAAAAAGGATTATCTGCGCTTCGATCTACACCAAATGCCTCCTTGCCTATGATACAAAACGTGGTTCTTGGCAGTCACTGGACTCTGCTTTTGATTTTAGATTGAAGAAGAATGAAACTGGAGCGGCAGTTTTTGAGAATACTCTGTACTGGATTTGCAAAGTGAGAGAGCCCCGGGCCGAGTTAGTTGTGTATGATATGGATCTCAGAGTGTCGGCCACCACCACTATCGTAGGTTTAGAGCGTTTTATACTTGACAGGAGATATGATAGGCCGCCTCTTGTTCATTTCTGTGGTAATGAGTTCTACGTCATTTGGCGTGATGGAATATACATTGACAATGGCAATGGCAAGGGAGAGGAGCCCCAATCTCTGGTTCGTTGCGCGAGAATACTAGTTTCTAAACAAGTTGATAGGCAGAACCGGAAAATCCGAGTGAAAGCTGAAGTTCTCTCCACCAAAACTCATTTACTTCCTAGACTATATACTATCATGAATGCAGTGGTGCTGTAAGTGATTCGCACAAGTTTTTTTTTTTTAGAACTTTTACATTTCCTCGCCCTTCTCTGTTGAAAAGTTTCTTTTTGGGAAGCTGATCATATTGCTGTAAATGTTTCCAATACTCATTTTCTTTTCAGAACTATAATCACTTTTCTATTTTATTATAACTTATCAAAAAAAAAAATTACTTATCTGTTTTATTATGTTTGATAGTTGTAAGGATCTAAACCCTAGGTGCCCATGTAGTGTCTCTAAATATTTGTGATCCAGACCTTTAGGGAGTGTGAATATGCTTTGTTGTTTGGATCAACTATATAACCCAACCAACGAAATGTACTATATGAAAGAAGTTTACATTTAGATTCAAGTTTCCAAATTCTAGAACCCCTACTTACTCTTTGACATAGATCAATCCACCAAATTCTCCACTTGAGTTTTCAGGACTCGATTCGCTGGTCAACTGACTTCGTTCCTCACAAATCTACTTTATTCCCTAGTTGTCTACCAAAATATCTGAATGATTGATTATTGATATTAGTGTCGAACATCTCAGATTAACTTTGTAGTAATTAGTAATTACGAGATGTCTACCACAATCTTATTTCATTTGTTATCTATAAATATATATTTAGAGTCTTCATTCTTCTTTTTTTTATTGTTCTTTGATTCAGATATTGAAACTTCTGGGAAATTTACTCTTTTTAATTAGAAAAGAGTCCATCTAGCTGTATTTGATCTACTGTTAATTTCTAACAAGATATTGGGTAAATTTTAAAAAAGAAAAATCCGAACTATCAACCTGTTTGCAACAAACTTATCTGAACTATTTTTACAGCCGAAAAACCTTGTATCAGAATCATGCAAATGACCCCTCTCATTGGATCATCAATTGTGCAAAATTTTCCTCTCCTTTGTAGTATCTAGCCTATATTTTTTATTTTCTTAGTCTTTTCTCACATACTCTTAGTTTGATGTGGATTATATATTAATACCCCTAACTATATCTTCACCTATTTCATCATTTTATAGTATTAGTGAGCATGCATTCCCAGTCTTTTCCCCGTGCTCGTCTATCAGTACCTATTTTCTATCGCATCTAGATGCTAATTTAGCGCCTCTTGCCAATTTCTTAGAGCTTTTGGCAGTTGATGCAATGCGACTCTAGAAGGAAACAAGCTAATATTTACTGAAATACTAATAAAATTCATCTGGATAGTAGATTTGTCTGCATATAGACATAAGATTGGAGGGAATGGAACCAAATGCTAGAGCTGTCTTTTGTTCTCCCTCTTATCCAATGGAACTAAAAACGGAAGTTAATTTACTGGAATATTATGAACTGAAAAAAATTGAAGCTTTGCATTGGAATCTATTAAAGAAGAATCTAGAGATATTGAAACTGTTTTCTTGAAAAGAAAGAAAGAAAGAAAGAACATTACTAATGGCTATAATCTACAACCTAGTGGTATTTTCTTACCTTCCAAAGTCAAACGTCGATGGTTCAAGTCTTCATAGGGAGCCAAAGTGGGTCTGTGAAAGTGTTTCTTGTAAAAAAGGAAGGAGCTAAATTGAAAGCATAGACAAATACATTATTGAACTAATCAAACTTTGACAATGATTGATCTTCTAATAGTGATAATGTTGATGCTTTTGTTGCTTGTGTTTCCAATAGTGGTGACATAATACAACTAAGGTTTTTTTATTATAATAATAATCTATTTATTATTTACCAAACCTTCTCCATCAAACTTCCAGAGATAGCTGGTTTTCTAAGAAATTTATTTCATTTGAGCATATTACTTGGCTTAGAAAGAGTCTCCACCCCCAAGTCTTAATTCAAATACGCGACTATATGTTTCTTGTTTAAACTATATATCAATAATTGAGATGGAAAATAGAAAATCTATCTTAGTTGTAAGAAATAAGATTCTAAACAAAAAATTATTTAATTGTGTAAATGTTTTATATTCTTTTACTATAATGAATTCTTTTCATCATTCTTTTAATTTGATTAAATATTGGAAATGATTTGGAAAAAAGAGAGGATAAAATAGTACACAAATAATTATTATTATATTATAAACAAAAAATAGCAAGTATTGAAAAATTACCACTTTAAGAGCAGACACGGTATTTAGAACTAGAGTAGAGGAAAAACTTGTGGAATAATTTATTTAGAAAATCTTGATAAGATTCTTTGACAAGGAGGGTCTTCTTGTGATAGAACAGGATCAGGTACCCCATACCATTTTTTTCTTCTTCCTAACATACCTCAGATCTTCAAACTTTTAAACCCATTGGGTTTTCTTTAGTTGGTTGCTCATATTGCAAAATAATGGTCTCTTGAAGTATCCTTGTTTTCAATTAAAAAAGGTTGTTGAGAAAAGAATGTTAATTTTCAGAAGCCAAATTCTTTTTGAAAATTAAAGATTGATAAAAATTTAAAAGATTTTGAAAGGGAATCCTATGTTGTTTTACATATGGATGATTCTAGAGACCTAAGATTTACATGTCTCTAGGGAGTCTCTCTTTCTCTCTCTCTGGTTTACGACAATTCATTCTGCACTTTTAGGATAATTTTTGTAGTTTTAAAAAAGGTTGCTAGCAGGATCTTATGTAGGATTGATGTGGGGTTTGTATCCTTAAATTTTAGAAATTTACGCAATAGGAGACCCTTCTGAGGGTGAGGACACTCCTATTGGGGTGTTTAAATTGTTTATTCTTAGCTCACTTTTTGGCTGGGTTGTTGGGAGAAATTGTAAATCCTTATAGGTGAGAGTTGAGTTTTTGGACATATTGAGAGATTAGGGGCCCTATTTGGCTCTTCTTTTGTTCCTTGGGCTGCTTTCCCGTTTGAATGCTTTCTATGTCATATACTACTTATAAAAAAAAAAGAAGAAAAAAAGAAAAAGAAAGCTAATAATATTCTCTACCTTTGATATGAAATGACGTGTTTGACCATACATTAATATAATGCTAAGAAAATTTGCCCATTGTGCACAAATCAACGGATATTTCTTGAAAGCACTAGTTGTGCTCAAATGGTTTTGCCATATTCTTCTATTCTTTAGCGATCAAAATTTTGCATATAATCTGCAACTGACATCCTACCTTGTTTTAGATTGATAAGTTGATCACATAATTTGTCATTGTAATTGGCCGGCATTTTTATCCTTCAAAGCTCAGCATTCATATCTTGCCCTGTACTGGTGAGCTGCTGAAACCATTGTATTCACTAAATTATCCTTCCTCCACCTGCTCCTACTCTCTGTCCACATCTTGTACCAACCACTATATAGTCTAGTTCTGTTCGTGGAGCAGCATCTGCAGAACTCTTTTAAAGCAGCAGTTGAACCCCACGTCCCACTATCATTTCTGCCACTTGAGAAAACCCTCAACTGCCTACACTTTTCAATATCAAAGAAAACCAATCCCCTGTCGGAGCCTTCTTCCTCCTCCTCTGCAGTACATGGTTCCTTACCCACTCTTCGCTGCATTAACCTGACCGGCTCAACTCCCTCCTCTTCTGAACCACATGCAACTTTGTCATAATTCGGTGCCACACACCCCCTGAGGATCTCGCCGACCAAAGCTTCCCACCATGTTTCCTGTACCTAACTTCTCAAACAGACCAAGAGCAGAGGGTGTAGAAGAAGAGAAGTTCGTGGGTTTTAGTTTACAACCCATTTTTTGTTTCTCAGCCCCTTAGAGTTTCCACTTAAGGGAACCATGTCATGTAAGTCTTGGCTTGTATTGATCCTTCACCTTCTCAACAGGATTGGGCTGAGCTTTTCTTCTACTGTCAGGCCCAACCCGCTGGAACTCCCCATGTTTCTTTTACTTTGGAAGAGTTATATTAGTCCCGGCCCATTGCTCCTTACACTTGAAGCCTCCCCTCTTATTGATAATTCTTTTGGGGTCATTCTTCATTACCTGCTGCTGCGGTTTCATGTGCGCTTACTTTAAGTCTCGAAGACCACTCTCTGTTTCAACATATGGGCCCAGTTATAAAGGCCCAAACCTATTAAATGAGTCATGAACTACTGGTTCAATCTTTCTTCACACATGATACTAATTGGATTGTCCTACAAGACTTGGCCCATAACATTTGATGCCCCATTACAGCCCATCCCACCTAAATTTTAAATGTGCTCCCTCTCCCTCAACTCCTTATCCTCTTTTGCACTGACACGTAATCCCCTAGCTGTCATCCACCCATTATAATTGATGGGATCGGGATCCTTCGCCACTATACAACTTTTTGTACCTCCCTTTCTACGCACCCTCTGCATGTGATGCCCATTTCTTCCCCTTTCTTGCATTTTGGCTGCCCTCTGCAACTCGATTGGTTGAGTTTCCTTTCCCACCCTTCCCCTATCTCTTCATTTTACCTCACTCGCCATCATACGCAGTCAATGTTCGTCCTTAATCAACTTGCGTTCGTCCCTTCTGCCAATAGAGCCCACAGTTAGTTTGGAAAGCATGCTACTTTCTTGAATACTCTTTTGTTGCAATATCATGATTTATGGAACTTCAACTTGTTTTAGGGAAACTTGAGAGAGCTAAAATTTCAAAAGTACATTTCTAGGATATCATTGGCATTGCTTGGACTTGGTGAACACTTGTAGGTTGATTTGAACTTGTAAAAAGCCATTTTGAAATAAGTTTGGGGGAATGTTGTTTTGGACTTTAATGTGTTTAAACTTAACCAAATTATCCTTTGTTGTTAAGTTTAGGAAATTTGAACTTGAAATGCCATCTTACTTGTCATATATCTTTATATTTCATTTGTGGAAGCTTGTAAGGGCTTGAGACCAAAATTGGCATCTTTGCCTTAACCGGCCATTGTTTTTTATGCAAAGGGGTAAGATTCTCACTCTTCTCATTCTGTACCATTTGTATACTTCAATTTTGCAAAGAAGGGGGTCACATGCCATAAGTGACAACATTTTTTATATCTTTGAAGTGTACAGAGGTCGCGAGCCATAAGCAATCATTTTTGTTCTCTATAATGCTTAAAAGGTCACGAGCCTTGAGTGATCAAAATGTCGTAGTTTTGTTGCCAAAAGGAGAATGGGATTGTTGTTGTGAATGGAGTTGGCATATTAAATTGTGTATCAATTATCCAAATGCTTCAAATGTTTGCATTTCATGTCTAGGATTCATTTAGAAACTTATGTATCATCACTTGCTTAGGATTGAAGTGTAGTTAACCATGTCCTGCACTTATTTCTCTATTTCATGATGTATATGCTTTCTGGAGTTCTAAATAGACTTTACCATGAACTTGTTTCCTCCATCTCATCTTTTTGCTCCATTGGACTTCATGTTGAACATTGTAGACGTTCTTGCTTAGGAAATGATAGATATCATCCAAGGGTCTACATGATTGAAATTTGCAAAATCTCTTAAATTTTAGGTTTGTGAACTCACGTTGCATGCCTTGTGCACATCACATCCTAGGCTTTTCATATTGGCTACATTCTGACAAATATTTTCAAATTGACTTTTGTGATTTTCTCTTTACTTCAATTGCACCCTCTTGAATGCTCAAAATTGTTAATGTGACATGATCCTTTCTTGCAAATTGAAGCATGTGTTAGTTCTAAATTTTCAGAAAATGGCTTGAATGCTATTCTTGAAGCTTTCTTGTTAAATTATTGCACAAGCATGCTCATCTTTGTATATTCTCTGTTTCTATTTGATTCAAGCATGCTTTGTGTTATTTTTTATTCTCTTTCCATTTTCTGGAACTGTGCACTGATATCTATATTGTTATTCTTTGCAGGAGTCGGCAAACACATCCTTCTCTACACAGCACCATCAGGAGCAACCCATCACTTCTCAGTTTCAGCCGGGCTCATCTTCACATCCTCCTCGGGATCCACTGTCTCAGTCAGACTCGCTCTCCCAGTACGCCAATTCTGACTCCAGCTTTATGAGCGAGTTGACTCAGCTCCAGTCAGACTTTACTACATTCAGCGCTTGGATGGGACGGAGGGCTAACGACCTAGAGAGGGGTGTGACAGATATGAGGAGGGACATTACTCAGTTCCGTACAGAGGTGCAGCTTACACTGACTAGATTTCGTGAGGAAGTTACAGATATGCTTCAGCAACTTACAAAGATGATTCAGCCACCACCGGTCGGGACTCCATGATTTCGCATTCTCTATCTCTCTCTCATTTACTCTGTTCTTATGTGCTCCTTAGACATTATTTGACATACTCTGTTATTATTTTGGGGATGTACTTATTAATACATATGATATTGATTTTTGGATATTTGTCTGGGATACTTTAGGTTATTTTTGATATTGTTATATGCATGATCTTCTTTTTTTTTCTTTTTTCTTTTTTTTCTTTTTTTGATAAGTAATAATGAATTAAAAAAGGTGTTCGAGGGAAATGTGTTCCTAAGACATTGGTAGAACCGGGAGCTAAGACCCCAAAGAATCCAAAAAAGTAATTAAGTCATCAAGAGTAACATGAACTTTCTCTTCACATAACTAAAAAGAGAACGAATAATAAAAAGTTTCAATATCGCCGTAGACGATTTCTTCCCTTCGAACATTCTACTATTTCTCTCCTTCTAAATGTACCACCAGACACAATGTGGGATAGTTCTCCAATAATCGCGTACACCCCGACTCACATGACATCTTCTCCAAGCATGAATCGAGTCCTTATAAGAATATGGCATCACACCTAACACATGTCAAACAACCTAAGAATAAGATTCCAATAGTAGTGCGCCATGGGGCAATGCATTAGGAGATGATCAACTGACTCCCCATCTTGCTTACAAAGATAACCCCAATTAACAAAATAAGTTCCCCTCTTCCTCAAATTATCAATCGTCAATATCTTACCCTAAATAGCGGCCCATACAAAGAATGTCATCCTAGTTGGAGCCATAGAGCGCCAGATGGTCTTCCATGGGAAGTCAAGGCTGACAAAATTAGACAAACATAAGAACAAAGATCTTACTTCAAAGTGAGTGTGAGGAGAGGGAATCCATATCAAATTGTTATAACCCCTGCCAATTCTTTTCTGCCGATACAATTGGTTCAGAAAAACACTTACCTCGTTCAACTCCCAATCCTAAAATGAATGCCGAAAATGCATGCCCCACGCAATCCCACTACTATCAAGCCAATAACAATTAGCTACATAGGTATGTTTATCAACTGCAATATTGTATAATCTGGGAAATGTACGAAATAATGGCTGATCCCCACACCAAAGATCTTTTAAAAAACGGACGCAACTACCATCACAAACTTTGAATCTGACATGTGGGGAAAAGACATCGCATCCCTTTCGAATAAATTTCCACGTCTCTACTCCTCCCACAAGAGAAACTGGATGGGTAGTCCAACTGCCAACGTTTTCCCCATACCGACATGAGACTAACCTTCGCCAAAGACAATGTCTTTCCTTCCCATATCTCCACAATCATTTTCCCAGGAGAGCTTGATTAAAAGGAATCAATCGTCTAATACTAAAACCACCCAACTTCATGGGCTTGCAGACTTGCTTCTATCTGACAAGGTGATGCTTGAACTTTTCTTCCCTTCTGCCACAAAGAAAATCCTTTTGAATTTTTTCAATCCTATTAGCAACGGAGCATGGAATTTGGAACATAGATAGAAAATATGTGGGGAGGCTCAATAAAGTGCTCTAGATAAGAGTTACTTTAACCCCCTTAAACAAGTATTACTTCTTCCATCCTGCCAACCTCTTTGCATACCTATTAATCACAGAATACCAGCTCCCCACTATCCTGGAAGAGACCCTTCGGGGCAAACCCAAATAAGGAATAGGAAATGAACTCACCCTACACCCAAGTACTACATCTAAAGAAGAGATATTCTGAAATTCCCAACTGAAACAAGCACACTCTTAGCCACGTTTACCTTTAGCCCGAAAACCACCTGAAAACAAATCAGGATGCACTTCAAATATCTGAGTTGAGACACATCTGCATCACAGAAAACCAAGGTGTTATCTACAAATATTAAATGAGAGATCTCCACCTGATGGTTTATATCTCTTGCCACCGTGAATCCCTTGATGAGACCAAGATCCCCTGCCCTGCGCATAAGTCTACTTAAGCCTTCCATAATAATTAGAAAGAGGAAAAATGATAAAGGATCACCTTGTCTTGTACCCCTAGTGCACCAAAAAAAACAGCCGGAGAACCATTCATAAGAATTGAAAACTGGACAGACGAAAGACATGTCTCAATCCATTTCCTCCATCTACTTCTAAACCTCATTCTTTGCAATAAGTATAGTAGGAAATTCTAGTTCACATGATCATATGCTTTCTCAATATTAAGTTTGCATAAAACTTCATAAACACCATTTCGTAATTTAGTATCCACACATTCGCCTGCAATAAGAACTGAATCAAGAATTTGCCGTCCTCCAATAAAAGCATTCTGGGAATCTGAGATAATCCCATCCATAACTTCCCTCAACCTAAGAGCAAAGACCTTAGCTATGAGTTTGTAAATACAACCCACTAAGTTAATTGATTGAAAATCCTTAATGTCAGAAGCGTCTCCCTTCTTAGGGATAAAGGCAATGAATGATGCATTTAGCGACTTTTCAAAGATGCCAGTAGAATGAAACTCCTGAAAGGTGCCCATCACTTCATTTATCACAACCACCTAACTTTCCATCAGAAAATGCATAGTAAACCCGTCAAGCCCCGGAGCTTTGTCCCTATTACAACTTGATAAGGCCTTTAGAACTACTTTTTTAGTAAAAGGAATCTCAAGCCCATTTATATCCAACTAAGAAATGGCCTCAAAAGGGAGACCATCGAGTTTGGGTCTCCAAGCTAAGGGCTCTATGTAAAGTTTCTAATAGAAAGAAACGATCCTATTATGCACATCTTCCTCCCTCCACAGCTCCACACCTTTCACCCGAATATGCATAATCGTTATGCCTATTTAGTCACAGTCCTCTATTTTCTCTCTTTCATTTTATCACTTTATGCATATGCGTTGACTATTGCTAGTGTGACCTTTTCAGATAGGTTTTTGGAATCTAAGTTTGGGGGTACTCCTTCCAATGCTAAGCTTTCCATTGCCGGGTTCTGTATGCTACGCCCATCTGGTATAATCTTTCCACTTTCTGTCATTTTTTTGCACATTAAGGACAATACACAGATTAAGTTTGGGTTTTTTTTAGCATGATGCACTTAATTTTCTATGCATGTGATATGATGTGAGAGTTTAGCGATGATTTTGATCTTTTGAGGCTATGTTCCTTTGAATTGAAAATTTTCAAGACTTGAGAGCTAAGTACTTTTTGTATGCCTTTGGATGCCATCTAGGAGCAAATTTTTCAAAAGTCTGATATCATGCTTGTTTTTGGGGTCTACATCATCTTGTTTGTGAGAATGCTGTAACGACCCGAACCCTTGGGTCTGAACCGTTAGCCGGGTCCTTATTCTGACCCGAGGTCAACTAAGGACAACACAATCTTAACCTACATCAAGGCATGCCTCACAAGTCAGTCCAGGGTCCAAAATACTTCAAGAACATAGTTTATGAGCGCTAGTATAACCAAGATTAAGATGTAGGTCAAAAGGGAGGGGTCAGCCGGCTGGTAGCCCATGGTCGGCCGACTAATAAGGCAGGATCGGTCGGCTAGGCTCCATGGTCGGCCGGCTGAAACAATCCAGAAACTTGCATGCTCTCAGGACTTGCTATTGTAGGAGTTTCAGTCAGCTGATAGAGGGGTTCGGTCAGCTGAACTTGGGGTTTTGGTCGGCTGATGGTGAGGATCAGTCGGCCGACAGGCCCTGGGATGCTGCTATAGGCTATCCTAAATACTGCAAAGCTCCTTGCAAGCCAATCTATAAGGAAAACTTGATATGCAAGGAAGTCCGAATTCACGGCAACAGTATGAATCATGATGCAATTAGAAAGACATTCATAAAATTGGTCAAAAAACACTTCATTTACCATTCACTCTAAAATAATTACATAGTCTCAATTTGCATCCAAAATGCCTTTAAGAGTTGTAGTTACAACACATAACTATGGTTTACAAAACGAATACACTTTACAAGATTTGAGACTTTACAAAAGAATGGCGGATAAACAAAAGATTCCAAAATGGGTTCCTAGTCTTCCTTAGCCTTGGAAGGATCTCCGTCAACTACTTCTTTTTCGAGCCCTGAAAAATGTTAAATAATGGGGTGAACGTAAAACTCAGTAGGTGGTATCTAAGACATACCTCTTGTAGCCCCATGAATCCACACAATGAACAGGATTGGAGAATAGGGATCATACTATACTGGGAAAGAATACAACATCAATTCCAAATTCAAAATAAACAATGCCGTGCCATGATATGCGATGCCATGTATGTCGCTCCCCATGTTCAAAATCTAAATCCATCACTTTCAAACTGTTAATATAATCCGTCCGTTGGTGACTCCGCAATGACATGAGAGAAGGATTGGCTACTGTCCCTGACCCTTAGTACCCCCGCGGCGTCATTTGGGGCCCAAATAGGTCAACTACGCTAGGGTGTTTCCCCTAATTCTCTTTAGATTACTTTAACACACCGGCCTTTTGGTGACGACACAATTAAGCATGCTTTACAAGAAATTCTAGGAAAAATCACACATGCTTTCATACATCATTTCTAGCAAGTTAACAACATAATAGGCATAGAAAATCAACACTTAGGCATGCTTTTCATAGAAATCATCTTGCACCTATGATCATGAACTTTGTACACCATAATTAAATCATTTTATGGGAAAATTAACACCAATTAAGCATGTAAGCAACAATTAACAAGAAATTGACTCACAAAGGCACAAGAAAATATGAATTAGAGACCCCTACCTCAAATTAAGCAAAAACCCCCAATTTGTGCCCTAGATCTCGAATTCCCTAGAGTGCACCAAATAAGGAATTGCTCCGATCAATTCATAGATCTTGCCGTGATCCTTAATTTACCGCAAACGGCTTCCAAAAATACCAAGTATTGTGGGAGAAATCAAGAATTGAATCTTGAAACCAAAAGAAAGAAAAAAGAAAAGTTTAGAATGGGAGAGAGAGAGACTTATGGGAGTGAGAGAGAAATGAGACCTAAGTGGTCTCTAATGCTCTTAAATGGCTAAGGTGGGTCCCACCACTTTTCTTTTATTTTTATTTTTCTTTTTCCTTTTATTTTCATTTCACACCACACACACACACACACACATATATATATACATATTTAATTCACAATCACTTGAAACACATTAAATAA